CCGCCCAGCAGCACTCTCCATCCAATTCTGTCCTGAACAATTTTTTTCACTTGTTTCCGGTTGTTATTCATGCTTTTCATTTCTGCTTCCAATTCCCGGCGAAGTGTGTTCTTTGGCTTTCCTCTTTTTCACTTTCATTCAGGATTCCAAGTTAGGGCTTGCCTCATGATATGAAAGAGGATGCGAATTCCTACACCAATAATTTTTCTAAACAGCAGACTCAAAAACAAGCTTTAAAAACTAATGGGAATAATCGTTACTATTTAACTTACAAGTGTATCTAAACCAATCAATAAATGAAACAGATAATAATATTTCTCTGAAGTTGCTCACAGAAAAATAAACAATATTGAACATTGATAACTGCTCCATACAATGATAATTAAACTTAGTAGCCAATGGTTTGTTTGGATAATAGACTGTAAACTTCACATATTATATTATGGCTAATAATTCGGAATACTTCATCAGTGTATCAATAATCATAGAACATTGAAAGCTTACTTTTCATTCATAATTATAATTGTTCATATTTTTTTCACTTCCAGATATTTCACAACGTAAACCTGAGTTAAGACTATAGATATGTAAACAACAAGAAAATCAATGGGAAAGTTAATGGGAGAAGGGGGTAAAATATACAGAAATCTAAACAACGGTTGTGCTTATTTATTTATTTCTAAAATAAAAAAACTCTTCACTTTTAATTTTTTTTTCGATGCCTACATGAATTTACCAAATTTATATATTAACTATAGAACAATCCGGTACTTCACCTAGTTAGTCAATATGGTAATCATACATTCTTTTTTTTTCTTGGTTGGTACATATATCAGTGATGAGCAAACAATCGAAATTCTCATACAATTCAGTGCCTTTAAATCTCCCGCCAGAGCTTCCAATTTTATATACCTATTAAAATTCACAAACATTCATTAGTATATATATACATATACAATCCCACACTTAATTCCTTCTCTCTTTTTCACAGATACATACATCAATAGTTGATATCTACGTGTAGATATCACTTTGGTGAATATATACTTAAAACAAAAAGGAGACATATGTTAAATCCAACTATTCCATCGCACTAGTTAATTTTGCTGCTTTCTCTCCTTTTTATTGTACTGCTGATTGTATTTTTTAATAAAAATGTATTATTTACTTCATCATTATTATTCTTCTTTACATATACACTAATAAACTAGCTAATAATTCTACGTTTACTATGATTAATTGGTTTTTATCATTATTCTTATTATATCATTTATTGAATTAATTAATTCCTGTTAACTACCTTTATTATTATAAATATTGAAGCCATTAAAATTGTAGTATACATATATATACACATAAAGAAAGAAAGTGTTACATCTCGACGACACCGACAACAATAACGAAAACTGCCGCTAAATAACCAAATTTCTTCTTTGTTTGTTTTTTTTAAAAGTTAAAATCAACGAAATTTATTAAAAAAAACACCACCTGTAACAGTTGAACTTCAGTGAATATAAAAATAAACAAAATTGTATGGAATATTGTTATAGTTTTCTGGTTTATTGATGTGCTATTGTTTGTTCGAATTCACATTACTTTACTTTGACAATGACAGTGATATTGTTGAAAAGTGATAGAATTAATTGAAAGAAAATTCAACTATCATAAATATAATAATCAAGTTAAATAGTAACTTCATTGGAATCTCACATAAGTGATTCTGATATTTCTTGTCGGATTGAACGAGAATTGTTATATCTGATCATCTCTGATTGTTGTGTCGGAAACGTTTATCACTTATACTAGAAAACAGGGACCTTTGCAATTCTCACAATGCGAAAGTAAAGAACATAAAAACCGGTATAAGTGAAGATTTATTAATCCCCAAAACACGTCGACGACGATGACCATAGTCAAAAATACACTCATTTATGTATTGATTCATACACCCATTTTGGGATAATTACGTGCTTACTTACTTACGCCTGTTACTCCTAATGGGGCATAGGCTGCCAACCAGCACTCTTCAACCCAATCTGTCCTGAGTCTTCTTTTCTAGTACCATCCAATTCTTGTTCATTTTTCTCGTGTCTATCTCCATTTTTCCGCGTAATGTGTTCTTTGATCTTCCACCTCTCCTTTGACCTCGAGGATTCCACGTGAGGGTTTAACTTGTGACACAGTTGGGTGCTTTCCTCAATGTGTGTCCTATCCACTTCCAGGGCTTCTTTCTCCACTAGGATCTGGTTTGTTCTCTCCCACAATAGGTTGTTACTAATAGTGTCTGGCGAACGGATTCGAAGTATTTTACGTAGACAAATATTAATGAGCACCTGTATCTTCTGGATGATGACTTTCGTAGTTCTCCAGGTTTCCGCCTCATACAGTAGAACTGTCTTGGCATTTGTATTGAAAATCCTGACCTTGGTGTTGGATAACAGTTCCTTTGAGTTCCAGCTGTTCTTCAGTTGTAAATATGCTGCTCTTGCTTTTCTGATCCGCGCCTTCACATCTGCATCAGATCCACCCTGTTCATCAATGATTCTGCCCAAATACGTAAAGGTTTTTACATCTTCCAAATCTTCTCCGTCAAATGTGATTGGATTGGTGCATTCTGTGTTGTATCGGAGAACCTTGCTTTTCCCTTTGTGTATATTGAGACCTACTGCTGCTGAGGCTGCTGCTACACTGGTCGTCTTCTCCTGCGTTTGTTGTTGCGTGTGCGATAGAAGAGCCAGATCATCTGCGAAGTCTAGATCGTCCAGTTGCATCCTAGATGTCCACTGTATCCCGTGCTTCACTCCAGATAATGACGTCTTAATAATCCAGTTGTTCACCAGGAGATAGAGGAAGGGTAAGAGTAAGCAACCTTGCCTGACACCGGTCTTTACTTCGAAAGACTTTGTTAACTGTCCTCCATGTACGATTTTGCAGTTTAATCCATCATTGGAATTCTGTATGATATTGACCATCTTCTGAGGCACGACGTAGTGTCGAAGAAGCTTCCATAGTGTTGCTCTGTCTATGCTGTCAGATGCTTTCTCGTAGTCAATGAAGTTGATGTAGAGTGATGAATTCCATTCAATTGATTGTTCCACAATGATCCGTAGAGTTGCGATTTGGTCTGTACACGATCTATCCTTACGGGATCCTGCCTGTTGGTCACGAAGTTGGGAGTCTATGCAGTCCTTCATCCTGTTTAACAATATCCTGTTGAAGACTTTTCCTGGTACTGAGAGAAGAGTGATGCTCCTGTAGTTGTCACATTTGCTGAGATCGCCTTTCTTTGGTATTTTGATCAGAAGTCCTTCTTTCCAGTCTTTTGGTACTTGTTCCTCATCCCAAATCCTGCTGAAGAGAAAGCCGAGTATCCCTGCAGTTACTGCTACGTCTGCTTTCAGTGCCTCTGCTGGGATGTTGTCCGGTCCTGCTGCTTTGCCACTCTTGGTTTGTCTGATGGCCATGCTGATTTCTTCAATTGTTGGTGGGCCAACATTGATCGGGAGGTCTGTGGGTGCTGCTTCGATATTGGGTGGGTCCAGTGGGGCTGGTCGATTCAAGAGTTCTTCTAACTGTTCTACACACCTGTCTCATTGTTCTTCAATGTTGGTGATTACCTTGCCTTCCTTGCTTTTCACTGGTCGTTCTGGTTTTCGGTGATTTCCAGAGAGTTTCTTTGTCGTGTTGGACAGTTCTCCTTTTGCGATGTTGTCCGCCGCATTGTCCAGTGCTTCTTGAGTTTGAATTTCATCCCGGCGACCAGCAAATGATGACTTGATGCTATATCAGCTCCTCTCTTGGTTCTCACGTCATCCATCGTCCTCCTGAACTTTTTGGTGATGCAGATATGGTCGAGTTGGTTTTGTGTAGTGTGGTCCGGTGAAATCCATGTGGTTTTGTGAATGCGTTTATGTGGGAACATAGTGCCGCCTATGACCAGTTTATTGAAGACACATATGTTTGCAAATCTCTCACCATTTTCGTTCCTTTCTCCCAGTCTATATCGTCCCATGATGTCTTCATATCCGGTGTTGTCCATTCCAACCTTGGCATTTAAGTCTCCCATGTATGCGGGGCATTTTCTTCTTCATGGCCGGAGTATAACAGAAGCTACCCTGAAGCTAGTCGTTGTTGTCGAACTTGCGTCCAATGTGTTTCACCGACCCCAAGCAAATCTAGGTTATATCTCCTCATTTCTGAAGTAATTTGGAAGACTCTTCCGGTCTCCCATATTGTACAAGCATTCCATGTACCCAAATAAATGGTTGCTCTGGTTGTTAGAAGGGGCATCGGCCTCGTGACTTCCGAAGGAACTCGGCTTTCATCATGAAGCGTCATAATTCTTCTAAATGAAGGTCTTCTAACTTCCAGGATAGAGTTCAAATGATTTGAATAATTTTTTCTGGTTAGCGTTTTTTAGTGAGTTAGTTTTCTACGGGATGGGGTCGCTAACCCCATGCCCAACCTTCCTCCTTTATATGGGCTTGAGGCCGGCAGTAGCCCCCAGAGGGTCCCCAGGTGGAGTTATTTTTGGTTAATAATTAGGTTGAAATCACATATATGAAAAATTCTCACAGTTATAACAAATCATATGCCGAGGTCAGTTCATGTTAACTTAATACAAGAATAACGTATATTATAAAGAATAAAATGTTCCACTGGAAAACAAAACCGAATGTTACAGTAAGTAATTATCATCTTGAATTAACAAAACGGAAGTAATGTTGAAGAAAAAAATCATAATGAGTAAATCAACCTAATTGTGACTTTTCTTTCTAGCAGATCTGATTCTTTCTATTTAAGACTAGTCAATTGGATGCACGTACCTATATCCCAATGTTGATGTTCAGTTTGAAACTCAAATCTACTACCATTCGCTTCAAACATCAACTAATTATCTACTAAGCTACTGAATATATATAATCATTATGATGTATAGCGAGCATGAAACCTATAAGATACATTGAGTGACCATTCCATAATGTTTTAATTATCATTTATTACTTACTTACTTACTTACTTACGCCTGTTACTCCCAAAGGAGCATAGGCCGCTGACCAGCATTCTCCAACCCACTCTGTCCTGGGCCTTCTTTTCTAGTTCCATCCAATTCTTGTTCATTTTTGTCATGTCTATCTCCATTTCTCGGCGTAATGTGTTCTTTGGTCTTCCTCTTTTCCTTTGACCTTCAGGATTCCATGTGAGGGCTTGTCTTGTGACGCAGTTGGGTGCTTTCCTCAGTGTGTGTCCTATCCACTTCCAGCGCTTCTTCCTGATTTCTTCCTCCACTGGGATCTGGTTTGTTCTCTCCCACAGTACGTTGTTGCTAATAGTGTCCGGCCAATGGATCTGAAGTATTTTGCGTAGACAATTGTTGATAAACACCTGTATTTTCTGGATGATGGCTTTTGTAGTTCTCCAGGTTTCTGCCCCATATAGTAGAACTGTCTTGACATTTGTATTGAAAATCCTGACCTTGGTGTTGGTTGACAGTTGCTTTGAGTTCCAGATGTTCCTCAGTTGTAAATATGCTGCTCTTGCTTTGCCGATCCGCGCCCTCACATCTGCATCAGATCCACCCTGTTCATCAATGATGCTGCCCAAATACGTAAAGGTTTTTACATCTTCCAAATCTTCTCCTTCAAGTGTGATTGGATTGGTGCATGCTGTGTTGTATCGGAGAATCTTGCTTTTCCCTTTGTGTATATTTAGACCTATTGCTGCTGAGGCTGCTGCCACACTGTTTGTCTTCTCCTGCATCTGTTGTTGCGTTTGGGATAGAAGGGCCAGATCGTCTGCAAGTCTAGATCCTCCAACTGCATCTTAGATGTCCATTGTATCCCGCGCTTTCCTTCAGACGTTGACGTCTTCATGATCCAGTCGATCACCAGGAGAAAGAGAAAGGGTGAGAGTAAGCAACCTTGCCTAACACCGGTCTTCACTTTGAACGACTTTGTCAACTGTCCTCCATGTACGATTTTGCAGTTTAATCCATCATTGGAATTCTGTATGATATTGACCATCTTCTGAGGCACGACGTAGTGTCGAAGAAGCTTCCATAGTGTTGCTCTGTCTATGCTGTCAGATGCTTTCTCGTAGTCAATGAAGTTGATGTAGAGTGATGAATTCCATTCAATTGATTGTTCCACAATGATCCGTAGAGTTGCGATTTGGTCTGTACACGATCTATCCTTACGGGATCCTGCCTGTTGGTCACGAAGTTGGGAGTCTATGCAGTCCTTCATCCTGTTTAACAATATCCTGTTGAAGACTTTTCCTGGTACTGAGAGAAGAGTGATGCTCCTGTGGTTGTCACATTTGCTGAGATCGCCTTTCTTTGGTATTTTGATCAGAAGTCCTTCTTTCCAGTCTTTTGGTACTTGTTCCTCATCCCAAATCCTGCTGAAGAGAAAGCCGAGTATCCCTGCAGTTACTGCTACGTCTGCTTTCAGTGCCTCTGCTGGGATGTTGTCCGGTCCTGCTGCTTTGCCACTCTTGGTTTGTCTGATGGCCATGCTGATTTCTTCAATTGTTGGTGGGCCAACATTGATTGGGAGGTCCGTGGGTGCTGCTTCGATGTTGGGTGGGTTCAGTGGAGCTGGTCGATTCAACAGTTCTTTGAAGTGTTCTACCCACCTGTTTTGTTGCTCTTCAATGTTGGTGATTATTTATTGGGAAATATTAATTATTCAATCATTTAAATATTCTTTAACAAGATAATTTAAAAAGAATATTTCATGTGAAAAACCACTGAAACCATAAAGTATTTTATTATTGTTTTGTCCATAGTTTAAGTCTTCCTAAATAATACTTGCTCATTATCCTACATGTAATTGGATTCATAATCTTTTAACATCAGTGTAGATTTCGGTAGATTTTAATGTATGACCTAATGGTTGAGAAACGTATCAATTCCAAATCAAAATTCATAAATTAAATATTGTATACACCATTCAAAATACTATACATAAATAAATAGTTGTATCTTTTATTGGGTTGTAGACATATCCTGTCGATAACAACTAACTTGATGAAAAACGTAGGTTAATCATGGCTCCCCCCAATTTTAATAATAATAATAATAATGGTAGTTTTATTTACTACTATGTATTTAAGAATTTCTCATCATGCAATATACATCTGGTTACATAGTGAAAATGTAAAAGAATAAATAATATCTTTGTGTCTTCAGCTACTGAAATTTTACGTAATTTTTTCCTCTATAACGTTTTTGTGACATAATATGTGTAGTAAATGAAGATGAACACTGCTGAGGAGTCCCATACTAAGATGAAACGGTCGTCTAATGCTTCCAGGTTTTCTATGGTGGTCTAGCTTCAGTTGACTCATAATCTCAACTATTAAAAAAATAAATAAGGAAAATTTGACGTTAGTAAAAAGTGCTTCAAATTTATCCACTTACATTTGCTGGTACCATAGAAATCGTGTACCGACCAATGTTAGACCACCATCGACAAACTGAAAGTACTTAACGGCCATTTCATTCAATTACCGGACTCCTCAGCAGTGCGCGTCCAAGATCTCACAAACACAGTACGAATCCAGGACCTTCGATCTCACGTGAAAACTCTTAACGCCTAGACCACTGAGCCATCATTCAACGGTGTTAATGTCTAACTTCAACAGGTCCACAATATTTTAACACAGTCTCCACTGTCCTCGGTGGGTCGTTGCCTCACACCTAACACTGTTAACTCCACTGGGCACTTTTCACAAAAACTTCGAGAATTCCCTCTCGAAGCTAGTTACTAGTGAAAACATGATAATTTCCAGTTTGATGTTGTGAATTTTAATAAAATTCAACAATCTCCACTACCCTAAACTTAAAATTTGCCAATTGTTTTCAAGATTTAAACTGTCTACAACGAATACCAAATATTTTACCACTTACACAACTAATAAATTACATGATCCAACCCAACACGAACAATGATTTTTTTCTTAAGGATTCAGGAAAAATAATGAGTAACAATATGAATGTAATAATAACAAAATTTGGTCAATACCAGAAGTATGTGGTTTTAATGGTAAAAAGGGATGAGAGATCAAGAAGAGTGAAACTTTAAACGAACATGATAGGTTTCATAATAGAATTGTTAATGGCACAGGAGTTATATTAGCTTATGAACGTTTGATCACGTTGAGATCAGTACGAGAACGTGGTGTTACTCACACCATCAGAACCTTAAGTCCCCCTACTTTTTAATTATTATCGCTACAAATATAATGCCTAGAAATGGATAGACAAGGCAATATGTGAAAGAAATCATTATTTCGATTTGATCAGTCGAGAATAAATAATAATGCATATTGGTTTTGTGTTTATGTTCACCTGGGGCGGTATGTATGTATATGGTTGTATTCATGTCTGTAAGCATTGTGGATTGAGTGATAGTGTTAACGAAGTGAATATGTGGAGTTGTTTGTTGAAGTGAAGGTTAAAATGATCAGTCAGCTGATTAATTTGTATAGCGAGCAGTGACTAGATATAGACGTAGAGTAGGACAATAAAAAAATTCAATCAAAAACTTGTAACGGAAAATAAAATCATTGGGAACTTTGTAACATTACAATTATAATTAATAAACTGATTAGAAACTACATGCTTGCAAGGACTTCTCAGTAAGTGGTATCCTCACATTATACAATCGAGTAAGATAAGACTCACATGACTTCTGACACTCGGATGTCATAACTGGTACAGCTCAGATGAGAAAAAAAACACCGATCGAGCATATATTATTACACACAGCATTGTTTCAAATACAACGAGGATTTTAATTGTAGTTTACTGTCAGTTGTATGTGACCGTACATTGAATCATTCTATTTATACTCCTGAAAGTTGGTATTTTAAGCACACACCTCACACATTCTCACATTTGCTAGTAATCAAAGTCAACCACTTCAATAGAATTAATCCGATTACTTATGTGTGCGTACATGAAAGGGGAATAATTCATATGTTTTTGTTCTATCAATTCTACCCTTTAAGTATGCTACTGTTTACAAATCCATTCGATAATCATTGATAAGATACCTGACGTATTCATGACGAAATAAACTAATTTTGGCGCCTCATATACAAAATGCATTCAATATAAAAATAAATGGATAATTATATGCAATTATTATTATAAATTATGGAGAATGCAATAAAATAATTCATTAATTGAATGCAAAATTCATTCTTGAATAGAAATACGTGTATATCAATGAAATGATAACATTTTAACTAAATATCAATTACAGTTTTTAAATATATAATATTTTGATACAAAGGGTTCATGAAGATTATTTATATTGAGAAGCGATCTAAGTTAGACATCCATCAAAAATAAAGGAAGCAGTGGACAGTGGTTTGATTTAATTCAAACATGTACACCTATGGTTGTAGGTTAAATGGTCTAGAAATTGGGTGTTCGCCCTTGAAATCAGGGCAAGCCCTAATTTGGAATCCTGAAGAGAAGCGGATAAGAAGAAGACCAAAGAACACATTACGTTGGATATAGAAGCAGATATGAAAAGGATGAATAACAACTAGAAAGAGCTGGAAAGGATCGCCCAGGACAGGGTTGGATGGAGAGCGCTGGTAGGCGGCCTATGCTCCTTTACAAAGAGTAACAGGCGTGAGTAAAAGTCTTGAAATTAAAGCTTCCAGGTTTCATCCATGATGATGGAGCCATGTCTGTGTAATGCTGAAGAGTCTCACAGTTAAAAGAAACAGTTGTCCATGGCATTGATGACTTTTCAATATAGATCAGAAAATAAGTCTGGGATATGAACAATGAAAATTCAAATCAATCTCCTCCTAGGTTAAAATATTATATATTTAAAAACTGTTATTGATATTTGGTTAAAATGTTATCATTTTTGTTATAACTTGTGGCCTGTGTGTCCGGCTAATGTATACGTAATGATACCGCTAATTAGAGAGCAGTGAATTATCGATCAAACCAATGACGCATAAAACACGTACGAGAAGTCTAGAGTACTTAACCGTCCTGCTTCCTGCATAGCCAAGCCAGTTCAGTCCAGAACACAAATCTCAGCCTCTGCAACATGAATCATGCATTTCAAACACACTGGGTTTATATACCAACCAGATAGACCACATTGTACCAATAAAATAGGAAACAACATCTGTACAAGATTTGGCCAAATGTGGCTGTGAATGAGAGAGGTAGTAATTAATAGACAGGGCATAATTCAAGAATGGTAAATCGTATAATAATAATTCATAGGTCAAAATAAAGCTCATAATAAGAGGGACATTTATATGAATAGTTTAGTTATTTACCAATGATACGATAAAAATATACGCATAGCATTGTCCCATAAATGGACCACAAAAGTTACTATTCATTATTCTTATCGGGACATAACAATTTTATTGATATACACGTATTTCTGTTCAAAAGTCAATTTATATACATTTTATTTATTTATTTAGACACACGAACATTGGTACAAGGAGGCAACAAATAGACATGCGCCACATAAATCACTCGACTTGTGTGAGGGCTAGGATATTGCCCGCGTGTCCAGACCGAAGCAGGCGTTTTTCTTAGGAGGCAACTCCCCGAGCCTTCGACCTAAAGATCTGATCCAGAAGGGAGTGAAGCAACGCCAGGAGATGCAGTCCCATGGTAGCCGGTGACCAATAATTAGTTCATACACCATTTGTTCTCTCAGGATACTGGAGCCCATGTGCACCATTAGTTTGGAATCAGGGTTTCCTAACTTCTCTAAGTGAATCCTCCATATCCACCGAACCATAAAAGCGCCAGACATTCGCTTTTCATCCTCGCAAA